AAAAAAAAAAAAAAATTTAAAACAAGACTGGGCAGGAGGGAGGAAACTCCCAGTAAGAACAAATGAAGAAGCTGACTGATGAGAACACAAATCAGATCCACACAACATGGGGGCAGCCACGTCCAACTGCGCTTGGCACAGTGGTGCCGGGTAGGCAGGGCTGGCCCAGGATACCGTCTCCACAGTGCAAGGCTCCAGCCAACGGGTCTCCTGGGGCTGCACTCCGGCTGCCGGCTCCACGGTGCACCCGCCTGTCCCTCCCGCTCCACCTACACTCCTTCGATATGGTGACATCCTGTATACCCTACAGCCACTCCTGAGGTGAGGTCTGTGGCCCCCGCCAGGGTGCCAGGAACCCAAAGAGGAAGCAGCCAAAAGGACGCCGGACTCGGAGGATCACGGGGTGAGTGGGGCACGGGCCTCACTTCAGCGCAAAGCCATGGGCTGTGGCTGCCGATACCTGAGGCACTGCCCTCTTTCTGCCTGCCCTGAAGGTGGCGGCCTATGGGACTCGGGCACTGCAGGGCGACTCGGGCCTCTGTCCACCTCAGCAGTCCCTGTACCAGCTTCTGCCCTGGGCCTCAACAAGCACCTCCTGCCCCAGGCTCCTACATCCTCCAGGTTCTGAGCCTCCTCCAGCCTCTGGACAACACATGTGGCCAGGGATTCCCGGCCACTGAAAACAACGCACTGTAAAAAATGACCTCACATACAGGGACTTTATTCAAATTCTCATGTGTCAGCCACCTGCTCTGGATGCTGAATAATGTTCAAACGCCTTCCCCATAAGTGGTCCTGGCAATGCCCTGAAATTTGAAGCTGGTTGTAAAACACAGGGCTGCCCATCAAGGCAGCAGGTCGACAGCACAATCTCTGCATGACCAAATCTCTGAGTATTTTTATAAATTAAAAAAAGCAACCAACAGAACAGTCACTTGGGAAAGCAGTCTGGCACTTCCTCAAAGTTAAACACACACACCCTGTGACTCAGCAGTGTGTCTGCGCCTCAGGACGCACTCGAGAGACAGGAGCCCGAACAGACACGAGCACAACCTGCTGGAACGATGGCGGGGGGACACCCCAAACAGCCATCGATCGACCGGAGACACGAACCGAGGCACAGTGGTAGACAGACAAGAAAGAGACGATGGGCCGAACATTCACTCTAGTCAAGGACCCTGAAGCCCATGCCGGTGTGGTCCACGGCTGTGATACTCCAAACCTGGCAAGCAGCCAGGGAGGCAGCTCGGTGGCACAGCACCTGTCTGGCAAGTGCAAGGTCCTGAGTTTGATCCCTGGTACCAAAAAACCAAAACTGAAAAAACCCTGGCGCAAAGTTACCACAAAAGAAATCAGAACAGGGGTCCAGCTCAACGGGAACAGCAGCAGCCAGAGGCCACAGGTCACGCACGAGCGGAGGAAGCCCGTCTGGCCAGGGCGGAGTTGCTCGGCTCCTGCACTCATCCAACCTCACCGCTCCACGGTTACTTTTCACCACCAGTGAGGCAGAATGAAGGAGTCTGGAGAAAAAGGCGCGCTCAGGCCAGGAGGCAGCGCGGCCCTCGGGCGCAGGCCGGTCCTGGGGTCTGCCCGCTGTCCGCTCACTCACGAGGACGCCCTCGCCTCACCTTCTCTTCACAACCTCAAGCACAGTCCTTAAGCTCTTCGGTCACTGCTGCCATTACAAAACGGGCTCCACGTACACAGTGAAACAAGCAAAGAGACACTGGCGTTCTCTGGTGGTCCGCCCTACCGACACACGTGACGACAGGTTCTGGCCCTAGTACAAATTGCTGAATCACTACGGCGGTCGTCTACTATGCCCGAAGCCCTTTAAACAAAAGCCCACCTTCCCAAGACCACCCCTCTTCTTCTCTAACTCAGTCCAGGGTGCAGTTTCCCTTCACCCTTCCCGCCGCCTCAGGGAGGCCCCCAGTCAGCTCCTCAGGAATATCTAAACATCCTCTCCAAGCCCCTACCTCCCCCACAAAGGGTCATACAAGCCTCAGCCTCCCTTTGTTCCAATCCAGAGAATTCCTTACCTTCCCCAGATTCTCTCTGTGTCCTCAAAGAATAAAGCCCCTTTCCCGTTTCCTTCTGCCCGTTTCGCTGTGGTGCCGGGTGCCTGGAAACACCTATCGAGCGAGATGTGATTCTTCCGCACCACAGTGCCAGGAGCATGCCCCACAGCCTGGCACTCCTGTGTGCACTGGGACACTGCTGGCCCTCGCTGAGCACTGTGCGCGTCACCCAGGAAGTGACAAGCACGTCCACAGCCACGGCACCACCGGAAGCAGATGCAGACCTAGCCAGGGGCCCACTTAAGCAAACTTGGGGTGCAGGCACCTGGTGCCCGGCAGGACTCCAGGGACACACAGAGCTTCGGCCTCAGGAACTCTCAGTCAGCAATGGGGGAAGGGGCCTCCAGGTAAGAGGCCAAGTGTTCCCAAGTCCTGTTGGGACTACAGAAGGCCTCAACAAAGACTGCAACACAGGGGTGCGGGGACAAGCAAGATGTGGGCCAGAAGAAAAGATAAAGGTAGCAGCCCGGGCCCTCGCGGCCTGGCTTCTAACTCTTGCAGTGGCCACTCCCGTGCAGGGCGTGCTTCCTCTCAAACTGCTATTCCCTTTATTTTCTCTTCTTTAATCTTCAATAAACACTGACCTGGTATACATACACATATACTCAGACCAGCACCACAGGTGTGTACCAGAACGGGGAAGGGCAGATGCGACAGGACAGGACCGGGCCCACCACACGAGCCCTCCGGACGCTGTACTCAGGAACCTGCAATTGTGGACCTGCAATCGTCTCGGGAGGCAGAGCTCAGGGACAAGGACGGGAGTTTAAAAGAGACGACAGCCCCAGTTAAATCAGAGATGCCCCTGCACTAAGAACATATAACCCCGCAGGCCTTGGGCCTTCTTACCAACGTAGCCCTTGATCCCACAAGCACCAGCGGGGCAATGCAGGCCTCTGTTTTTAAAGAATGAAGCCACAAAAGAGAAAAGGAAAACATGACAGTGGAAGAGAACTGCTGGGAACAAGGAACGGCAAGCCCCAGCCCGGCAGAGCAAACTCGGGGTGGAGACCCCAAGGCACCTGGCGCCTCAGACACCCCCGATCTTTGAGCAGCAGCACACACAGACCCCTTGTGAACAAGCCTCACAGCAGCCATTGCCTGGAAGAGAGGAGGCAGCCGGGACGGCCTCGGGAGGGACAACTGGTTCAATCCGCACAGTCCAGGAACACACATGGGAGAACAGGAAGCAACCGTCCAGCCGAAGCAGCGAGCAGCTGCCCGCAGAGTGGTCCAGCCAGGGCCTGCGCCAAAGGCGACAGCGCCGTGCTGGCATGGCAAGCAGGTCAGCAGGTGCGGGGCCGAAGGCAGGTGACACTCGGGTGTTTCAGGGCAGGGCCACTGCTCTGCAGGTACTGTGTGGTGCTAGCACACGACAAATGCGTGACACAAGTGACCGATACACAACATCGAGAACTGCAAAACCTAAACTTTATAGCACAGTGAGTGTTAATGTATGCAAATTTTAAAAAATGCTTCAGCTATTTTACTTCACTGCTCAGCCTGTTCTAGCTTTGACTCTTGGAAGTGCTCTGCCTGGCTTCAAGTCCCTCTGCCTGGTCCCCAGGCCCCTGGCCGCACGTGCACAAGGGCACTGTGAGCGTGTCTGCACTTCAGGCAACGCACATGCTCTCTCGTGCACTCCCTGCCCCCGCCCTGGACTCAGGCCCTTCTCCGAGGAGCCCCGGCTCCCTTCATGCACTAGGGAATGGAGCCAAAGCCCAAGACGGGGCGCCCGGTGTGCAAGCTGTGGGACCGTGGCTTCCAGGTCCTCTCGGGCAAGTAAACCCGTGTGGTCCAACGTATTCCTACACACGACAGGCTGCACGTACGCTAGGCCACATAAGAGCTCCTGTGCACAGCCCAGTTCTGAAAGGGAAAACCATCTGCTTGACTCCAGAGTGGCGCGTCCTACCCTAGGGAAGCACCACCAGAGGGGCACCACCTGGGACACCAGAGCAGCACGCCCCACACTGGCAAAGTCTCCAAGAACGAGGGGAGTCTGAGAAAGTGCACAGCTAAGAGGAATCTTAGGAGACATGATGACAAGAGGACAGTGTCTCATGGCGGGGGCCAGTACGGGGCCCTGGGCACAGCAAGGACGCAAAGGACAAATTGAGGAAAGAAGTGCACACAGGCACGTTCCCAGTACCCTTGGCGCTGGGCCAGCACGGGGCACCACAGAGATATGGGCAAGCCGAAGCTCAGTGGCTCAGGCCCAGGTGAGGCGGTGGCAGCCCTGGGACGCCAGGAGCGTAGGCTCAGTGCTGAGACTGGAAAATGGAGGGGGACAGCCACAGATGGCTAGGACACACCGGCCAACAAAACTTAGCTTTGGTTGTTGTCTTTGAGACACAGTCTCTCTACATAGTTCAAAATGGCCTTGAACTCACCAGGCAGCCCAGGCTGGCCTTGAACTCATGGTGATTGTCCTGCCTCAGCTTCTCGAGTGATGGGATTACAGGTGTGCACCCCAACACCTGGCCTTCAACCTGGGTAGCAAGCCCTGACTCTGGAAAAACAAAAAAGCAGGCGGGGGTTGTAGCTCATCAAGAAGGCCCTGGGCTCCATCTCAGTGATGCAAGATCTGGCTTGGAGTGGAAACCGGAGGGTGGACACTAGGTAAGCAGGAGATAGACAGCAAGGCCCCCAAGACCTGCCGAGACCACAGACAGACAAGCGAGCAGGGGACAGGACTGAAACTGGGTTTGCAGCAGGAGACCTGAGAATTCAGAGACAGTGCGGATCTGGAGAGCAATAAACGCTCATACGAGGCCAGCAGAGGGGCTGCTACTCTGAGGAGAGGTGCGGAGACGCCAGGCACCTGCAGGGTGGTCGCCCGCTGGAAAGAGCAGCTAGTCCCCACCTCGGCCCCGGGTGGCCCAACAGCCCACCTACTGTGATCATGCTGTTGTGGCAATGTGTGGCAATGTGCAATGGCACGCTCCCCTTGTCCTTTCACACTCCAGCAGACATGTATGCCATTTTCTCTTCAGATGAGTGAGTCTACAACGAATACTAACCTTTAAGAAAACACATATGCCCCTGAACACCAACCCAGCTAAAGGCAGTGTCAACATGCATCGCACGTGACCCCGTGCCAACAGCCACCCAACAGAATCTTTCGATTGAGGCTCTTTGTATTAAAATGCAGAGTTACCCTAAAATAGCACTTGGACACTGCAGACCATGGGGAGGACACGGGGCAGACACAAGCAAGGAAAAGGGGCGGAAGCCAATCTGGGCCAGAGTAGTTCCCTCTCTGCCCCCAACCAGACCTCGCCTCTTCCCAATACTGCCACACACCTTTCCAAAGGTGGGCAGCCCGGGTGGGGCCTGGCCTCCCCCATCACCTCCAGGAAGGATGCCAGGTGGACCTCGGTCTTCACAGCCACAACACAAGAGCCGTATCTCGATGACATATGTTGGGCCTGGCCCCTGGCTACTCAACGATCATACAGGGGCGGACCCTAATCACCCCACTGCTGGGACTCTCCCCTACATCTCCACGAGGGGCAAAACATAGCCTAGTAGCCAAGGTCAAACTCTTCGCCAGCCTCCTTCCCATACCCCTCCCCTGGAGCTCTCAAAGGTGGGTGACCCAGGCTGCCTCCTACCAGGCCCTCTCTCGTTCATAGAAATGAGGCCAGCTCAGCACAGAGCACTGGCCACATCCCGCCACGGGGCCTGCCCCACCTGCAACCTACGGGCTGCTCCCACCAGCCTCGCCCTGGCTGGCAGGCTCTTCTTTGGTCACTGCCTCCACAGACTGCCCCTTGCCAGATGCAGCACTCCAAGAACATCTGTTGAGCAAGAGCGGCAAGTAGAGAGTCAAGGGCCACGGCGACAGCTCAGCGGGCTGTGTCTGCCTGCAAGCACAGACCCGAGTTAGATCCCCGGTACCAAAAGCCGTGCCAGAATTTGGGTGTGGGGGCATGTCTGTAATCCCAGCACTGCAGAGGGTGAGGCAGGAGGATCACCCCGAGTCTGAACTGCATAGACACCCCATATTCAAAACAAACAAACAAATAAACTAGAGCCAAAGTACACAGGAAAGAAAGTCTGAGAAGAGTACCAAGTGTGGGACCAGGGTGGGCAGGGGGCACAAAGCACTGGGAATCTGGGATAAACAGAGTTTCGGAGAAAGTGAACGGTGGGGACTGCGGCAGCTCTTTGCCACAGCTTGACCCATGGTCCAGAGTCCCAGTGCACCTATGTTAAGAAACCGGACACCACAAACACCCAAGAACTGTAAATGGAGATACAAACCACTAGACTCCCAAATCCCTGTGTCCTGTCCCAGGAGGAGCAGAGCCTGAGTGAGACCCACATCCCAGCCTCTATCCAGTGCCTGGAAGTGCTTCTCAGGCCAACAAGTGGTGCTTGGGACACTGGACACACCATCCAAAGTGCAAGGACATCTGCGGTGCTAATGACGTGCTCGGTGCTCAGGACACGAGGCGACAGCAGCAGGTGAAGGGGAGGCCACCTGAGGGACACCACTTGTGCACGAGGACATCTGACCCACTACCACCTGGAAGCCCGCAACAGCACTGAGTGGAGGGCAGGCGGGCTCAGGTCCCTGGCAGCACCCGGAGCCTCAGCTCTCTCCCCAACCCTCTCCTGCAGAAATGCACGGCATCCCGATGGCCGAGCTTGTGAAAGGGC